GCCTGGGCGAGGTAAAGCGGGGCGTGGTAGGCAGTGGCGTGCCTGTATACCAAGCTCGTTAGTACACATACATCACAGTCACGCAGAAAAGCAACTGCACGTGGAAAGCTAACCAGTTGGTGAGAAAAGTAATCTTGTCACTCGCCATCGTGGATGCGTTTCAAGTGCGATGCTGCTAGGGTCAGTTGCCACATTCACGAATCAGGGGGCAGGGGGAGTCAAAGAAGCATGTCCTTCCGCTGGTATTATCCAGATCAAGTTCACCGGTATTTCTCAGACTGGCCAGACGAACGCTATGCCCTCTCCCGCTGGTTACAGCGTATTAACTGCCGTCCCAAGAATCCATGTGATTGGTCCCTGAGAATGAGCTAATGGGGAGAGGGTTTACGAGCACAGCGACGAACTGACCAACCACCCGGATGCATTCTTGTTCCTCGATTTACCTTGAAAGCATTGAAGTGGTGCACAAAGTGCCATGGCTTCTCTGACGCGAGCGTCATACCGTCGGTTTGTTTGGGCGGCGGTTGTAGTATTGGATCGGTAAGAATCAAATTGTGGAATTTAGAAGAAGAAGGTTCAATAGACACAGAAATGAGGGGAAAGCCGAGATTTTATACCTCATGATTTCAAACTACATCATAGCCCTAAGTCCTTCTCCATGATCGCGTCGATATGTTCCCCTCACTTAGCCTGAAATGCCGCACTATACATGTATGACACCCGATGATCCGTGAATTCGAAGGACCTATTTGGCATTATGCATCCTTAGTCAGTCTTAGATTGTGTTTCTCATCGATTTATTTGATGCGAGAGCCGATTAAAGTGGACTCAGGTTCCAGGCGAAGTCGGACTAGCATAACCCACCATCACGATGGGTGAGGGGATATTGGGCGAGTGTCGCCCTTCTGACGCGTTCGATAGGCCATGACATCCACGCTGGCACTTGGCGAGTCCCATTACGCCTGCAGGACGTGTCATAACATGCCATAACGGGGCCAAGGTGGGTGGCATAGATGTTCCCTCATGCAACTTCGGGAGCAACGAGTGACATGCCGACCCGATGCTACCCGTAATACGCTTCCTCGGCTTTCTCCATCGCTTCCGTCACTACACGTGCCAGCTCTCTCGTTTTCGGGTGTACAGATTTGACGTCTTGAACCCATGCCGCTCTAGACTTCCAGAACTCCCATCTGGCAATACAAAACTCCGCAGGTCCCGCCCATAGGCTTTGTTGGTTAGGCGGCCAAGGCTCGATCTTCCCATTGAGGGAAATGATGAGCTCGCCGGCGTTCAAAACCCACTGGGCGACAAGTGGGATGTTGATATTGAGCGCCTGGATGTCCTCTTGTTTGAACGATGCCTCGTCTCGGGGAGTCTGCTCAAACGCCATACAGAAGTCTTGGGCACAATCGTCAGTGAGGTTCAGGCTAGGGATGCCCAAGTTGGACACCTTGGCCAGGAACGCGATTGAATTGACATGATTGTCGTAGTAGGTTTCCCAATTGCGATTCTCCGTCAAGTCCCCCCAGACAGCGCCTATCATGTCTGAATGATCAGACAATTGCAGCGTCACTTGCCCGCTTTGATCAGCGACATCGGGAAGCTGGTGAATGGCGGCGACCAGCCTCAGGAGCGCTTCGTGGTGCTCTGGATACCTGCTTGAGATTTGCCCAACTAATGACCAGACGTGGTATGTGCTATCTTTAGTCGTGAAGCCACTCGCCAGCTGCGTTGCTGCTTCTGTGTTACTGACTACGCCCTTGAGGAAATCTCTGATTGTTTCCACTCTGTGGGAGAGACTGATTAGATCGTGCACTGAGCTGTGAATAACGGTTGGATGGCAATTTAGCGACTTACTCTTTCTGTGACTGGCCACCGTTGGATTTCTTTATCTCATCCTGCAAATAAGCCTCCCAATTTCGAGCCATTTCGCTAGATGTCGACACAAACAACTAAATTCGTTAAGAGTCGCGGATGTTATGAGGAAGCAGAAGAGAGGGCTCTAGATTGAGGCCTGTCAAGTCGCAGGGTCGCATAATAAAGGCCAGGCTTCATCAATGGTGAGACGACAAGGAATTATCCGCACGCACCAATCATTGCAAGGCATAATCTGACAGGACCCAGCCCCCAGGATCAATGTAAGCTTTGTTTCTGGAATAGTGGCAAAATCTACACTGTTCTGGGTCGAGCTCGGTAGTGGCCGGTTTGCTATCATCGGCATGTAGAAAATATTCATGTCTATTGAGTGAGATTACATCGAATTTTACAGCCCGACATCCTTTACATCCAAACACTAACCTCCAAACCAAACAAGCCCCATTGACTATTCACCTCATTCAAGGCACCTATCGACAAAGCTGCTATTTAAATCTCCGAGTTGAGCATCTATGGCCCGAGTGGTGTCTCGTAGCTGTACTGATCAGCTCCGGCCCACTGGATGAAGGAATTGCCAGCAAACTGGTATTGCTCAATGGGCAGGAAACTCTCCAGCTCTGACGAGACGCATCCCTTCCTTTCGATCTCACGGCCCTCAAAACGGCTCTGTATCCAGTCCAGCCACAGCGGCCTAGTAGCGTCAAGGGAAGGCACGTGTCCAGTGCCCTGAACAGTCAAGAATTCCAAATCATTGTCCGGGTAGATCTCGCAGGTGTCGTGAGAAGTCTTGGCCGTCACATTGTACGAAACGTAGACATCATTGGTGCCCTGAATAACCAAGAGAGGCCCCTTGAAGGGTTTGCTTCCGGGATTGGCCAGCTTTGCGAACTGTTGGGTATACCATGTCTCGTTATATGTCGTCTTGTAGATCTCCTCACCAGTGAAAAACAGCTGCTGGCCCACGGAAATCCCTGCTTCAAGTTCCTGGTAGACTTCCGTACGCTTGACTCCCAGGGGAGTAAGCCATTGATCGAGTGTGAAGTCGGGGAAGATCTTGTAAAGCGCCATTCCCACCCATGGAAGGATCAACTGAGGAGAAGCAGAGAAGACGTCGGTTACTGGGCTAACCGCAATCGCACCCTTGTAACCTCCAAGCAGATCGGAGAATTCTTCCTGCTGGCTTTCGAGGGCCTCAGCTACGCCCCAAGTGACACCTCCACCCTGGCTATGGCCGATAGTGACGAACTCTGTACTCAGGGTAGTGGGGAATGCCTCGAGAGCAGCACGGAGGCCATAGAGCCCATCAAGGGAACCTACAGACGCCATATCCCACTGGTGAGGAATGCGGCTTCCGTCCCAAGACTTTGAGATGCCGAGGCCTGCGAAATCCGGGGCCACAACAGCGTAGCCAGCGAGAGCAAGTGTAAATGGGGCCGAGTTGCCGTACCAGAGCGATCGGTGAGCTGAAGGGGCGGCGTCGGCGAAGAAACCAGAAGTACCGTGGTTCCAAAGGACGACAGGTGCCTTCTTTTCGTCGATGCTTTGAAACTTGCGTGGACGGAATGGCCAAAGAATAAACGCTGACGCCGGAAGGACTGTGCCATTCAAGTCCCTAGTAGTGTAGAGAATTCGAGACAAGGCTGTATTGGGCGGGATCGAAAACGACGAGACATTGGTGAACGGTTGAACCTTCAGAAGCTGTCCGGGAAGAAGAGGTCCGCTCTGGTTGGTCAATGGGGGAAGTGAATAGAAATCATCTTCTCCTGGACCTCCGTGTGCCAACTGTGAGCGATCGAAGTTTATGATATTCTCGATGCTCTCTATGGCGGACTCTGAGATGTTGAGTTTGGCGATCTGCTCCTTTGATAAGGCAAAGGAGGAGTTGAAAGCCGTTGATTGGGAGACAGCCGGGGCCACTTGCGCCAACCCCAGGGGGAGAAGGCTGGCCAGCACAGCCAAAGGTTTGAATGTGTGCATTGCAAATTTGAATGTATATGGAGCTTGAGAGGAAACTGTTTGAGATGGGAGTGTTGGGTATAGCTCTTCAGCAAACTAAAGCAGAAACCACGTCTACTTATACAAAACGATCGATGATGCTCCCTCTTACTATCTCCATGACATTTGTAAGCCTTAAAGAGTTTCATTATTTAAGCAATTTTGCTATGTTTCTGCTCCTCTAGACAAACTAGCTCGAAGGACGTCTTAGAAATTGGGATCGCTGCTCCTCGGCGTTCAGGCGGGTCTCGGACCTAGAGTGGACCATCGGAGTTCGAGTGGGTCAGCTCCCTCCTGTCAGCCGTTACAGTCAGCAATGCAGGATGCCATCACGGTGAAAGACAATTAATAATCTCACATTTACGTGAGTTACTGAGTCCATTCTGCGTGTTTCATATCTCTCTAGGTTGCGGATCTCTGCTCACGCTGCTGGATCGACCCTTGGGGGAGTTTGTGGTTCATGCACTTTTACAACCCACAAGCGTCCCCTAACTCTAATATCTAAATGCATTTTCCGTAAATGCGTGCATACTATCATCCAGAGAGGTAATTCACTAATTAGAAGCCCATTTTTCTCCCTTCAGTCAGAACACGTAGTAGAGTGTTCTGGAAGTGCAGTATTTCCATGCCGAAAATGTAAGTGCACCTTTCATCGAGGTCTAGGGTAGCGAGGCTGAACATCCAGACTCGGTCACGACTGGAAATATCAGCGTTGAGAAATCTCGCGGAGCTTTAGACAATTCATGGTGTCTGAAAAAAGATTCTGTTCTCTCTGCCTATCTCCTTGCCGTGTAAAAATCCAATTCAAGATGGAATATGGAGATGAACAGGAAATTCCCAAGGTGTTATTGCATGCTAAGTGAGATGGCAGCGAAACTGGGATGATGGTCATCGACAATTACAAGACACAGCTAGATCATTTATTTGCGATTGATGCGAAAATTGGCAAAGTTTCGTTCTAGTAATTGTTTGCTACGTGAGATGCAAAAAAAAATGGAAAAGGGGTCTACCCGACTCAATAGCAACCCGGGCCCTCGCGGTCATCAAAAACACAATATGTCCGAGTTAGAGAGTTCATAAAATAAAATAAAAACAAAGGAAATAATAAAAATGTCCACCGACACAAGAATTCAATCATAAATCTCGGTGCGATTGAAGCAAAGCTCATACCCCCTAACAGTCATTCTCCAAATCGGAACCCTTGGCTCATCAGAGATCTTTCGGGTCTTGTAAAAGCCAAACTTGGTGGGAAGATTTGACCGAAATTCCTTGTACTTGGTGTAAAGGGACTTTTTCGGCGGCGGCACCCGTGGTCTCCTTGGAACGGGGTGAGGCCGGCGTGGTTTGGGCTCCTTGGGCTTTTTCGCGCGCTCCGGTTTGAATACAACCTCGTTCCGTGGCTCACTGCGGTAGTCATCTGATCGTCGGCTATCAATGCTTTTCCGCTCATCATTGGTCATCGATTGAAGCGCGGGGTTGTCCTCGAGCTTTTGCCTCACAAGCTCCTCTAGTGGCATCTCGTGTCTCCATGCAGGACCAGGCATCCGGCCCCATCTGGAGTCCCAGATATGGTACTGCTTCCATCGCTGGACAATAGTGTTGTACGAACGGCTTTCAATCTCGCTTTGTGTGGTAGGTACGTTGTCCGCCCCGGCTGTGCGGCACTCCTCATACCATTCTTGTTCTCTGCGTATCTCATACAGAAACTGGTTTAGGGGGCGAGATGCATCAAGCTCAATTGCCCTCTGCTCGTCCGTTTTCAGGTTTTTCGGGTCATCGATAGGATCACCCATGAAAGCGGTCTCATGCCTCCAGGCTTCTCCGACTTGGCAATTTTGTTCATCGAGGAGCCAGGAACTGTGCCATATACCCTGGTCGATCCACCGTTGTCGGATCTTTAGGTCGATGATCTCGTTAATCGCGAAAGGATCATCCAGCGGAGCAGACTCGGCTGGGCCCTCATATATATGGCGAAGCGAACGAAAGCGCTGCCTCTCAATCTCCTCCAGCATGATAATCATGCGGTATGGTTTCGAGGCGTTACGGTTCGTGCTCACTTCAGCCTCCCATGAGAAGATGGGTGGTTCCCACTCGGCCCCCTCGACCTCGGGAGGAGGTGAGCAAGTGAGCACCGTAGTTGCGCCTGATTGAGGTGGCGTTCCCTCGGGGGTCTTGTTGAATCTAGAGCGCTCATTTTCAAGCCTCCGAGGATTGCCTCTGAGCCTCTCGAGATCAGCGTCAAGTTTGGCAAGGCCTTCTTGGAGAGTTATGATCATAATGGATAACGATGTTAACAAGGTAAGAATTGTGCAGGTATTTGACAGCAAGGATGGCAGAAGGGAATTTGATGAAATTGGATCAGGAATGAAGGAATCAAAATTGTTGCATTATCATTTCTGGGACTTGGCCAGAACTCAGGATGGACCACCGGCTATAAAAGTCAACCAAGGCAAGAAAAGCTTGAGCAGTTACGCGCCGGAACGAATCTGCGCGAGCCCGCCATCCTATCAATAGATGTCAGGGATAATCCGCCGGGTAACTTGTGAGCGAACCGCCCGGGTTTGTCATTCCTGCAGTTACTGGCGCATAAGCGCCCAGCACAGGCGAGAGACGCATGAAACCCCTGCCAGGTTGCATGCAGGGTTGAGAGATGCCCACTGATAGGCCAGAACACACCTGTAACCGCCCAAGATTGAGCGTTTGAGGGATGTGCATAATAAGCGCCATACTACGGTATCATCAGTATGTGACAGCCCTGTCAAAGGCCCACAGCCCCCGCATGCAGCTTGCGATGCTACCAAATGCACGCCGGAATACGCCCTCATGAGCGCCTACCAAGATCATGATACCACTCTACGCCATTGTCCTCACGGTGAAGACAGTTGGTGCATACAAAGTTGGTCATGGCCTGGAACACAGCCTTGCATTATGGCGCAAGTGACCGCGGCCCTGATGCTATGATCTTGTTGGCGACTGTTTATGAGTGACCTAATGTCAAGGCCATACCCTCCACTGTTCGAATAAACGCCGAGTAAATTTAGATGCCTTTTCAATTGCTACTGCAGTAGATTTTTGAGCCTAATTTTAACATTGTCCAGGCGCTTCGACTCTACCAGAGACAAGGCCGTTGGGCAATGGCCAACGGGCCGTCACGTACTCGGACTACCTACTCGAGTGTCCATCAACCAGCATTAAAGAATGCTGCCCCGCCCCGACTTCTCTGCGTTTTCAGATTTAACAACATTTTCATTTAACAACAAATATATTCCCAAAGAATTTTTGCAATATACCGAATCATTCCATTCTTGTCCTTGATTTTCCTCATCCACTCTATCTCACGCTGCATCAGACTTGTATCATGGCTAGCGGTCAAGGAAACTCTTCATTTTGTCTTCTTTTCCGGCTCATACCTGATAATAACACATTTAAAAGAGGTTTGCCACATGAGCCTAGCCGTGATGCCGGATTTAAAATTGGACTCGACTATTCGCGGATGGGGAGCACGACGCTGGCTTCAGTTGGACGCGATGTCAACTGCGATATCGTGATCAGTGACCCCGTCATCTCAAGGGTACAGTGCTCCTTTGAAATAAATCCAGCCAACGGCCTCATATTTCTGGTCGACAGGTCTCGGTTCGGTACTACTGGTGTCAGTGGCAAAAAGAGCAGTGGGTTCCCTCGCACTGCCCAAAGAGAAGTCGTTATACTCCCCGGCTTCAATGACAAACTATACTTCTGTAGCAAACAGGGATATAGATTCCTGATTGATTGGAAGTTGCAGCCCTCTGAAGTTGTAAAGCATGTCAAAGCCTTTGTCAATAATCTTGCGCCCGGGCCTCCTCGCCGCGCCCTCACCTTGGACCTGGGTGACGAGTATCGGACAAACAGGATCGGGGCAGATGATGCATTGACAGCGGTGCAGTCGAGAGCAATGTCCAGGCTTTACACCCCGGGTGCCGAGCCTCAGGAAATGGCATGGGCAACAATTGAAACCATTCAAGAAAACCTACATGGAAGCGTCTCACGCTCTGCTAATGCCTTCACTGGTGGCCTGATTGCTGTCAAAACAATCAAACGAGGAGCACTTGGGGGAAGCAGAAACTCTTTGCAACAGCTTGAGAAAACAGTGAAGTCCCTGCGGGACATATCACATGTAAGTACTCCATTCTTTTTTGTTCGCCTCATCATGCTCATACTTCCACAGGATCACATCGTAGGTATTATCGCATCGACCGGTTGGTGTGATGATACCCTGGAGATTGCCATGGAACTTAAAGATGGCAACCTCCAGTCACTTGTTAATTCATGGAACGACAGACAGTTGCATCCCTCCGCCATTGATGCCTTAGGTCTGAGGGCTATGCACCACTCTCTTCTTGGTTTGGAATGGCTACACCATCACCATTTCATCCATGGCTCCGTTGCGCCTCATAACATCCTATTCACCCAAAGGGGTGACAACCCCGACTCCATCCACAGCTTCCACTTCGTACTTGCAGACTTTGGCCTTAGCACCGTCGATCCGAAGAACGAGTATAACCAAATCTTCATTGCCCCAGAGCGCCATTACCCCGATAGAAGATCTAGCAGGAAGTCTGACATTTGGTCTCTTTACGTCACGATGCTAATGGTTCTGCAAGTTGACGATGACTTCACTTTCAACATCAGAAGCTATGACATGTACATGGACCAACATTTTGACGCTGTCGTCCAGACTGCGAGGAGCACCACGGGGAGTCTGCAGAACCTCCACGTCATGGCAAGACAGAACCCAGAGGAGCGATGGTCTGCAAAGGAAGTTCTCGAACACTTCTTCAAACAGGGCTACTTCGTCGATCGCCCCTTGCCACCCCCAGACCTGCTTCCTCGTGACAGGAGGCAGTACGGCCCGAGTTCCTACAGGGCCCCGAGAGGGAACCTCGTAAGACAGTCAACGATGGAAAAGCTGAAGCAGACTGGGGACAATATTCTGCGGCGCATCACAGGTGACATCTCTGATGCCGTTGGGAGAAGGGGGATGACTTTCAGAGGGCATGATTAAGCAGGATGTATGAGTGGGAACAATTTGTCGGTAGGACTAGGAGTTACATTTTGGGTTTTGTATTATTTGAGAGTAGCGAAAGGAATTGCCAACCTTGCAACCTAATTTGCCGCCAGGTGCGTAGAATGGACCAAGGGCAGCCTCAATTCACTCAAAGTTACCACCAGATATCCCGCGTTATTCAAGCGGGATTTGTAGCATTTAAATCCTCACGCCTCAGGGCATCGATATCTCATACGTGCTCCTTTGACCAACCCCCCCGTAGCCTCAAAGTGTGTTTATGGAGCAAATCAAAACAGAGGTAGAGCAGTTACGACCATCGGCCTTGCGATTAACCACATAGGTAGCGAAGTTTACCAAATAAAAATTTAATACGACTACGAGAAAAAAGCTAGGCTAACTTCACCCAAGGACCAGATTTCTTTACTGTCCACAATTCGGTGGGAATGCCCTATTCAGTGAGCTCGAATTGATTACATTTTCCGCCCACGACTCCGAAATCAAACAACAATAACACGATCGATGATGTTTGGAAGTGTAGCACTGGAACTGATGTCATTATGGGAACTTCCGGGGGCGGTCAGGAGAAGCTGTTTGGAGCAAAGAATTGGATGGGCATCACCTGTCGGGTACCTCTGCAGTGCTGGTGCCTACGCACGCATTCTGGATAGCCGGCCAACTTTTTGAGCCATTTTTATATTTATCGCCATCACTAACGTATTTAAGGGCACGGTACCCAGTTTTGGAGGGACTTCTGAGTTAATGGGTCTCTCTTCTCTTGCCGTCATGCAATTTGCTGCCGCTTCAGAGGGGATCAAGTTAGAGCCAAGAACCCGCCAAGAGCTCAAAGTGGGAGCCTGTCTGGTAGAAATGATAGACACGAATGCATGCCACTATATTTTCGTAGGCTGGAGTATTTAAGGCTGAGATCAGCAAATATGAGGGGCTGGTTAATCCGTGATGACAGCCAAAATACTCCAGGCAGCTGGTTCCATGATAACCCCAACTCCAGGCAACAGCATCCGGAACGGCCTCTCGGGAAGATACCCAAAACTTCCAATCCTGTGCAGATTTTATTGAGGCAGTGTTACTTGATCTACAAAAAGGTCAAGGAGTTTTGATCCTTCCAGGCACTGCGAAAGACTCAGCCACGATGTATGAGGATACATGTCGCGCGGTCAATTGAGCACCATCAATTTCAACGACTCTCACATTACTATATAAAAGTTCACCATAGCCACTAGATTGTATTCGCAGTCTATCCTCAGCAACTGGACAAAACTCGGACACAACTCCTTCATCCAACATTCCTACTTTTATTTACTACCATGCCCTTCAGTACCATGGACACTCCACGTGCGCTTGCGCATCCCCTTCGTCGGGCTATCGTCATAGCCTTTGGTCCAACATTGCTATTGAATATCGTTGAAGCTGCTGTGGTTGGCTCTGGACTCCCCTTAATCGGAGTCCTTGCCCATCTTGTTTCCACTATTATCTGCATTGCTTATTTGCGACTCGGAAAGCCAGGAGGCGAACAAGAAGGCGTCATACGTCTTGGGCCCTCACATGATAAACCTCACATGTTTTTTCGTCGAGCATGGTTCCTATTTGTTCTCGATGCAATCTTCACGGCCATCTTTTTCCCAATTCTCGTTCTCAGATGGGTCTGGGTCCCGAGATATGCTGGCCAAGCCGTCTTAGCAACATACGCCGAGATTCCTCTGTTTATTGCACTGTGAGTAGATCCAGTTCAAGGTTACATACAGAGAAGAACCCATCTTTCCTGGAATCACGGCTAACACCATAAAAAAAAAAGGGCCTGTCACGCTTGCCTTTGTCTCTTGACATTGCAAGACCTCCTCGGGCTACGCCATTTCGCCGACCTTTTTACCCCGAAGCTTTGCCCGACCTGTCAAGATTCTCAGCGTCCGATTCCTCCCCTCATAGGATCAGGTTTCAATTCTCAACATCCAGATTTCAACTCTCAGGCCTCTAGCGTCGGGGCTGACACTCGCGTCGCAATATATCGCGACTCGGCCGAAAACGAGACTGGAGAGTCGGCCGACAGGGAGGTGCGCGCTGCAGACGATGGAAGCTCTCATAATCCCAAATATGGCAAGGAGGTCGGCCTGGAAATTGTCTAAGCGTTTTTATAGGCCATGGTTCTACTTTGCTTTCAAACTCCATGGCGGCTCAACAAGTTTGCATACCGATTGACGCGAAGTTGAACTGCCGTGTGATTTACACTCCGCAATATAGTTCTATGCAGTTCTCAGCATCATCACTTTTCGACCTAGATCAGTAACGGCTGTAGGCGGGATGATAGTACACCAGTATGAGGTATGGTTGGTGCCTTGATCTCGGATGGCGGCCCATATAGCACTTCAAGAGAAGAGCTCCATAGCACAATCTTTGAACGCCCTAGCAGACTAGAATACAAGGGATATCAAAGTAGGTTAATCTCACGAACGGTAGACTGTGGTATGAATAGATCATATTCAACATTCTAATCTTGCCGCCTGCGTGTGCATGCCCAACACAGCAGGGGACAGAATTATCTTAAGTTCTGGGGGATAGCCTTTGAGCTCCCCTCGGCCACCAAGTTACTCGTACTCTCTCTACTACTAGTCTCGAACTCCATTGTCTTATAAATCTCCCCGATCTTTCTTGTATTGCTCTGGGCGCCTGACCCCCCTATCGTCGGTGTATTCTGCAAGGCGATGGCGCCAGATTTACTGCCGGTGCCCCGACTAGGATATCCCGAGCCTGTAGTGCCGCTCCTGCGTGTCGTCCACGTCTCGCGGCGGAAGAGAGCCGTCATAATCGGAGCATTGATAGCGAAAATGGTGACGAGGGCTTCGCGGAAGACCCAAGTGGACGATTGGGCCACGCCGGGACCGTTGTCGACGGAGAGTATGCATCGCGCGATAGCCATGGCCATGACGAAAAGACCCAGTGACAGGAGGAAGGTGATGCCGATTTTCCGCAAAAGAGACATTTGGACATCCCACAAGGTGCGGACAGGGACAACGAGAAGCAGAGCATCTGCAACGACATTCCCGGTGGCGATAACAATATTCTGCGTGACTCCGGCCGAGCACTCGAAACCCGGATCGGGAAGAATCTGCCAGTTCCTCTCGATGGGCAGACAGTGTGTAAAGGTAGCGATGCAGGCTGCGACCCAACATGCGATCGAGATGCCTGCCACAGCAAACATGTACGTGATCATGTTCGTCTGGCGCCTGCTTTGAGGTTAATCGTCTCTTTCTATGATTTGTGTCGATGATAAGCAACGATGGGGGGAATACGCACGTCAGTCGCATAAAGAAGACGATGAGAACGGCCTTTGCACTCCAGACAAAATTTATGAGGATGAAGAACGAGGCATACATGGCCTTCGCACCGTTCCTCAGCTGTACCGTCATCTCTGGCGACAGCGCCTCGCGTTGCTCTTGTGTGAAACCCAAAGGGGCACCCACGACAGCAAGATATTCAACCATGGCAAACAAGGCAGTGTGCCATACGAAAACCGAGACAGAGAACCAGTCGTCCCAGTACCAACCACGAACTCCCAGTGTCTTGATTCGGATGAGCCAGCGTACGACGAGGATCAAGGAGCCGACCGCGTATTCTGCACGGCTTTCGACTAGAGCCGGAGGAACTGCAGCCATGTTGTTGAATGTTAGGGTCGGTCGTGGTCGGATAGTTTCGGTATCATCAGAAGTTTGAGAATTCGAATGAGCGTTCGAGTCGAGCGTAACAGTGATGTCGCTACTTCTTGAATCAACCGATTCTGCACAAGGAAGCCAAGCCTAGAAGTTTTTGCATGGTACCAGCATGTTTAAACCCTGCCATTTTCCGGCCCGTGGAAATACGGTTGTCGGGACTCCTAGTTGATCATTGCCAGGCAAAGAGGATGAACCGTCTCATCGTGATTGTCTCGACAGAGCACCGTTGTACACTCGCGGCAGCATGGGTGTAGGCGGGATCTCCGCGGCTCTGGGGACTTATGACTTGTCAATCCATCCATGCCAGAAAAGCGGATCGATGTTTGGAATAACACTTGAGGTCTCTGTTGGGTCAATCGGATTTTGAGCCGTTGGGGAAAGCGGCGAGGCCCTTCATGGATCTTCCTCAGCCTTTCTCCACCGGTGGCTCGTCAGGCCATCCCCTGATAACGCCAAGACTACAACCAGGTGCTTTCTCCAGTTGTTTTCATGCAAAATACACAGTGCCATTTCTGAGTACTGGCCCCTAGGAGATGCTCGCTTCTAGTGACGCGAACTGAAGAAGCTGCCTGTATGCAATGGCGATGACGGTGTAGCTTCTGTTCTTCGCAGAGAAACTAGCATCTACAGGCAATATACTTAATCAACCCAGTACAATTTCTACTAGTTGCATATGTACTGTGTCATTGAGCAATTTTACACGTTGCTGATGCATCAGATCCACCGCAAAGCAATACAAACCCTCAGGGATGATACAATCACCATAGGACTTTTGGTAAAGGGGAACACGATTGGTGCCAGTTATTCCACTGTTAATACTATATATGCACTCCACTCTTGTTGGTTGAGTGGGTAACGCCTGCCGTTTCGAATCCTTCTCATTTCACAGTGCATTGAAGACCGCTGATCACTCCTTCTATCCTCAATTAACACATGGAGCTTGTATAAGACTGCTTGGGTATCACAGGTGGAATAAACCAAAAAAGCAAAAAGAGACAACAAACCTAGCAATCTGTTACAGTATCAATACAAGGACCATCCATCATGGGGCGAGATACCGTCTCCATCCTTGACTCGATCCAACCAAGCGAGTTCGCCACCGAGGCCGACCGCTTCGCTGCCAAAGAGGCCGCTCGACGTCTCATCTCTCGTCTAGAAACTCCCTTTGAGCAAGCTTGGGCCATCACGTTCGAAAACTCAGGCTTGATCTCCGGCCTTCAGCTGATCCAAGACCTTGGTATTTGGACGAAATGGACAGAGGCTGACAAGCAAAGCCCGGGGACGGCCAGGACGCTGGATGAGCTGCTTGGTTGGGCCAACGCAAGCTGCGAGCCGAACCTTTTACGTCGTTTTCTGAGGCAAATTGCCGCTCTATACTACATTGATGAAGTTGGCGTCGATACCTGGAAGCCCACCCCTTTCTCTTTAGCCTTGGGGCAAAAGGAAACATATGGTGGCGATGTTATCAAAGCAGGGTATGTATGCAAAGCTCCGAAGAATCACTCATGGAATCGAGTTGTTGACTGTCCCCAGAATGGACCATTCCATGCCCTGTGGCAATAACCTCCCACGCTTCTTGGCCAAGAACGCATATAAGGAACCGCTTGATATCGCCACGTTTGACAACTACCGCGATGTCTTTGGCCGTGACTTCTTCGCCTTTGTGCAGGACCATCCGGAGGCGGGAGGTTCGTTCCAGGGTGTCATGGCTGCACTAACCCATTACAAGATGATCTGGACCGATGTTTATGACACGACGCCCCTCGTATCCGGCGCCGATTTGAGCAAGCCTCTCTTTGTCGATGTCGGCGGCGCCCAAGGCCTCGATACACAGCGTCTGCTGGACCGCCACCCTGACCTTCCCGCCGAAGTCCTCTTCGTCGAAGACCTGCCTGAAGTAGTCACCACCCACGGGAAGGAGAAGCTTGACGACCGCATCCGCAAGATTGCCCACGACTTCTTCCAGCCTCAACCAATTGTCGGCGCGCGGGCCTACTTCTTCCACGCGGTGCCTCATGACTGGCCTGATGCGGATGTGGCTCGGATGTTTGCCGAAGTGAAGAAGGTCATGACACCGGGGTATTCGAAGTTGTTGGTATACGAGGTCATCATGCCTGCACGGGGCGCGTCACACTTGGCGGCGACGCTGGATCTGGCCCTGATGAGCTGCACAAGTGGTCTGGAGAGGACCGAAGAGGCTTGGAGAAGGTTGTTGAAGGAGTGTGGGTTTAAGATTGCCAGCATCTCTAGGCATCCGAGGGCCTTGGAGAGTGTTATCGAGGCTGAGATGGAATGAGAATGGGCACAGCCAGAACAAAACTAACCATTGGCGTTGGTCTTACGGTAAAAACGAAGCTGAAATCATTCCCTCTTCTTCCATTCCTACTGCAAACATCTTGATCGATGAACCAACCATTGTACAGAGTAACCGATCCAATTTTCAGAATACCATGTCAAAATCAAGTATTAGTCTCGCTCAGATGAACATTTTCTCTATCGGAACTAATGGGACTTGATGGCCCTACTAAACACATTGATCCAAGATCGAATCATACGATACAGAGCTCACGACACTTATCAATTTCAAACATTTCCCCCTTCATGGCACCGTGAAGATACGTATTTCCAACAAGATTAAACCTACCATCACCGCATGGGCGAAGCATCAGAGCGACTGTCCCTCCTTTTATAAGTGCAATATAGTCACCGGCCTGAACTTGCGCTGACCATACAACACCAATCAACCCGGTTTTGGTCTTGAATAAGTTCTTATGTGCCATCCCAAATGTAGAGGTAAACACCGATGTCATCGCATTAGAGTCGAGCATGAACATATAGAGTATCCTGGCTATTTTGAGTGCAGCTGAGAGTCCAAATCTGGTACCGCCCAGGGGAGAGCTCTTGATAAACGCATAAAGTCGGGCGATTTTGAAGACGTCTTTGAAGCCCCGATGCAAGTTTGGGCGAAAGTCCTCTGGTACGTCTCCTCGATAAAGTGTCGATCCCAAGGCGTCTGAGAAACTCTCGCCGGTAAAGTGGTACGTGCCATCCAAGTTCTGTCCAAACATTTTCGCTACTTCATGCCAGCGGGCAGTTGCCAGCACGCCTTTCTGCTCTAATGAAAGATGACTGTAGGTAAAACTCTCGCGTATACCCATCGTCGGAATGGTAAAATCAGTAACCTGATCAAGAAGGACACCTTCGAGGCTCAGAATATTTTCGTTCACTTTATAGGACGTAGAATAGAGATTCGTGAGCCCTGCATTATATTCTCCTTCGGCACCTGATTTGCATATCTCGTGGTAGTATATGACGTTGTCCAAATTGTCCGGCTCTTCGTAGTTCCAGTCCACTACCCATGAAGGCAAATCTGGAGTTTGGCTTGGGTGAGGCGGTCGTAGTCCAGCCGCCACGAAAATGGGGACAGTTGGGTATACCTCCATGCATATTTCGGATACTTGCTGATAGCACTTGGCTGCGCTTATCTGGTAATCTGGAATGACGAGGTTTTCCTTTTTAGCCAGTGAAAGAAACGCATAGATCTTGTCGAGCGGATTTGTTGCGAGAGAGCCCATGTTGGAGTAGAGAATCCATAGAAGATCGAATGCGCCATCATCAGCCTCGGATGGATTCATAAGCATAGCTGTGATCCGCGCCAGAGATGCGAGCCGGTAGCATGTTAGAAATGTGTCAATGCTCTGGGAAAGTGTCGCCAGCGCATTTATCCCTGAATGCAGCATAAACAAAATGGCTTGCGCGACATCTGGCCACCATATGATGGTTTCGCCGCAGTGAAGCCAGGCACGCCCTTTCGCAAGGGATACTTCTTGTACTATCCACGCTCTACGAAACCATGCATTCTGGAAAAAGCATACCAGGGGGTCCCAATCTGTGGTGTCCTTGTTGTCTCGAAGTTCATCCATGATGCCACTCCAAGACGAAGACTCCAGGCTCATAAGATCAGTCAGAGGGACTGATAACTTCTGGGAATAATGATTTGCGAGTGAATTCAGCTTTGCGATGAGCTTGGGTACTTGCGGCGTCGTCTCCTCTTCATGGCCTAGCCAGATCTTGACCTTTTTCGCCTTGCCGTAGATCATGCCCATGAGAGGCACTTGTTCATTCTTCTCTTCAAGGTCCTCTTGGTTGATACAGATTGCATCAGCCCATAAGAACACCAGGGCTTCAGGGCTTCTGAATTGGCGTAGCGCATCATGGAGGTTGGGAGTGATATTCAGCTCCAAACCATCGCATAAGATGGGTTTTGAAGGCTTCTGTCCACCCCATGTATATGAGATAGCCTCGTAATCTGGGTCGGATGCAAGTGAAACATATTGAAGTGTGCACTCTAGCTGGCTTTCACCCTCGCCTGGTTGAAGTGCAATGAGTCTTATTTCTTGTGTGCTCCGAGATCCAATGAGAGATTTTTCATACCGAAAGGCCATCATCGTTGTCTATTACGGCCTCATTACGCGAGGCGTCTCGATAATTCTACCGCATCGATTCGTCTCTGTGAATACTCTAGTAAGGTTGAGAAGAGATGGAAAAGAGCAGTGCACAATGTGGATCGGTTTATTGCTACAGTCTGGGGCGCGCAAATGGTTCGGACAAACCCCTGCTCCGTAGAATCATGTCAGCTGATCACGACAGGGGAGCAAGGTGGTGGTCAGAGCTTCGGTCAAACAGATGTAAATCTAGAGTATTTCACTGTTTCTTGGAAGACCCAAAATTCCATCGTTCGAAGGATGAACCTTTCAGCCTACACACGAGCCAGAAAACTACGCCACATCCCAGGCTAAAAAAGGGGCCTCGCCTAACCATGCTGTTGTCTCAGCCATCGATGTAATACGGCCAAGCTAATGGGTACCGCGACATTGGTGACTCAAATTACCGTAGTCTCACTCCAAAATAACCCTCTAAATATCTACAAATCCATGTGTGATGATGTGATCTCCATTCATTCTCGACGGGTATCCACGTAGCGTCAGGGTGTGTCATTTAGAGTTAACCAGCACCAAATTTTCATAAGTAAAAATCTAATCGGGCACTCTCACCAAAGAGTAATGTGAAAATAAGTCATCCAGGTTTGGGGTCAGCAGAGAGGGGCCTGACGGCTGAGGACTGTGCCAGAAGTTAATCTGCACCGCAAGCCACACTCCACCTATGCAGGCATATGCGCATTTGGGAACCTTTAACTTGGCAGAAATACACCATGCCAAAGCTGAAGGGGCAGAGCCTCAAATGTGTTTATTTTTGCAAGTTGAGGCATTCAAATTAATCCGTGAGATGCGCACTTCTTCCCTACCCTATAGCCTCACCACACCTTAGGTCACGGCATCGCAACCCAAGGTGGCATAATACCAATGTTTCACGTCTATTGAAGAAAAATAAACGTATGGACTTGATCTTCATGTTTATGTTTTTCTAATTACAAAAGAAAAAGATTCTCCCTGTTAGTTCAACCATTTCAAACTTGGGATACGAGTCAAGGCAGCTGCTGTTTTCTCCAACACACTCAATATATGTACTCTACAAACACCATGGCCACTTTGATGAGAAGTTAGAACGCTGCATTGTGGCACCGTAAACTCTTAACCACTTGGCGAAATCACGACAATATCTTGCGCCAATATCGGCGTCAATTAGTGATTGATAGCTTGTAGATGTGTGACCACCCAAATTATTGCCAAGACGATCGTCTCAGTCCCTCAATCTAGCGCTATCCTTAAAGCTTAGCCTAGAACACCTAACGGCGGACAGGTTTGAGCTAGTTACAATCACAATTAGGTAAATATAAATACGGCGGTGGGAAATACATGGAGCCGTGGAAGGAATTGTCACTCAAGTCATGGAACAGAGTTGGAGAAAACCATATTTTAATTTTTAAAAAAATCATCGTGGGCAAAGGCCTTTTTCATCTCACAAGACGTTGTCGTCTTACTGTCTACCCAAAAAGAGAAAAGAAAAAAAAAGTATAAAAAAAAAGTTCCTGGGGAAGAATTAAATAATAGATATTACATCACCCCTAATAGCCATGATGCCACCAGTATCTTATTGAGGACCACCGGAGATGTGGAATGGCATCGAGTACTGCTGGTAGCTGGTACCCTTGAGGTTGACGCTGAGACCGTAGATGTTCTTGGCACCGACAAAGTTGTTGTTGATGGTCCAGGAGTACTTTCCGAGGCTGTTGTCGACGGCTGAAGATGGTGGTTAGCTTTGGTTCGCATAGGCGGGCGGAATTGGATTTCATGACTTACTGGCAATGACGCCGAGAGGGAACTGGAGGTTCTGCTCAGCGCCACCGATGAGGGTGATCTCGAGCTGACCGGCGTAGAAGGCATCGTATCCCCAGGTGATGTCGATAACTTGGCCGTAGCTGAGCTGCTGGAGGTTGGTAGGGGTGTAGATGGGGTTGAAGGTGGGTGGGTTGGTAGGGTTGGTGGGAGTAGTGCCGCTGCCGCCCGAGACCTTGAAAGGCATGGAGTACTGAACGGTGGTGCCGTCCTCGAAGGTGATGGTGATGCCGTAAAGAGCATTAGAACCGATCCAGTCCTGGTCGAGAGTCCAGGTGTACTTGCCCAGGCTGTTTTCGATGCCAGCTAGACGATAGTTAGCTTGCTGTGAATACCACGGCAGATTCAAGGGGCGGAAAACTTACAGGCAATGGTTCCGAGAGGGACCAGGGTGTTGGAATCCGCACCACCGATCAACTTGATGTCGATCTTGCCAGCCCAAGCAGCGTCATATCCCCAGGTGATGTCAAGGCTCTGGCCAAAGGTGAGCTGCTGAAGGTTGGTGGGAGTATAGATGGGGTCGAAAGAAGGCTTGGTGGTGGATGGCGAGGAAGAGGAAGTGGTGGATGGAACAGCCGAAGTAGTAGACACAATCGCAGTAGTCGATTCAACGGCAGAGGTCGACTCCACGACACTGGTGGAAGAGGCGCTCGATAGGCGAGTCGAGGTAACGAAACCAGAAGTGGGAGTGGCGATGACGGTGCTGCTGCTGCCCTCAGGTCCCAGGGCGGAGGAAGAAGAAGGGAATACAGACGAGCAACGTCTTCGGGTTCGGCGGGCGTCGATGCCGGCAGTCAGGAAGCCGAGAGTGCTGAGCACTGTAAGGAACGAGGGTGCATGCATCTTGGATAGAGAATAACGAGTGAATGAATGAATGAAAGAATGAATGAATGAAGCAAAGATCACCAAACGAAAGAGTGAATGAACCAAACAGGCAATGATGTGTCTGTCAAGAGGGCCGGATCGAAGCGAGAAAAACGGACGAGAGGGGCCTTGGCTTTAAGAGGCCTGGGACTGTCGACCGTCTTTTCCACATTTACTTCTTTTTCATGCCTTATGCAGGCACAGGCCGCCTTTAGCCAACTTTAGTAAGTCTATTGGACTGGGGAAGCAGTCCATTGCTCCAGACCTACATTAGCAATAACGTAGTGGACTAAGCTGAAACTATGTGGTGATTGGTGGCGTGTCGTTGTGTCTCCTTGATTGGTGAGCTGGGAAAAGCGGCACCCTATGAAAACACGTTACGAGGTGAGCCCTATTAATAGTGTCAGCCATGGAGACGCTGCTACGTTGTAACAGTCAGCCCCCGGTTCTCATTCGAGAATACGATGGTACCTGTATCCTATACAAATCCTCTGTCTCCCCGCCCTGTCTTAGGTTTGGTCCTGCTTGCTTTTCACTCACTACTCCAAGGTCCGTGAACGGGCTGCACTGGATCAGGCTGGAAGCGCCCAATCTGCAGTCTGTCCTGTCCATGCTTTGTTTTGCTCGGCAGTGCGTGGTTGAGAGCGTTCTAGACCAGAAACCAGCTAGTCACGCAAGATTGACCCGTAGTGTCCAGATATTCCGACAACCCCTGGCCCCTTAACCCTGGCCCTTGGGCTTTACCCCTTACCTGACCTGCCAAGCCGGCTAACCAAGCTGAATCAGCAACAGAATTTTTGCCAGAAACGGTGGAAAATCCACGAGCACATTGGGAGGATCGAAGGTTGAAGCCCGAAGGAAGTCGCGATGGCACCGTATTATTGTCAGCGTCTGGTTCCATCTGAGCATCCATACTAAGCTTGTCACGGTAAAAACAAGCCATCTTCTTGACGAAATAGAAGCTGGAATAATTTGCTTGTTCTTCAGGATTTTAAAATAATGAACCCCACATCTTTTCTGTCACCCATGTTGGCAAGGGGCGAGCAGCATATCGGGTTTCTCGGTCGCGAAACATTGATGCGATTGGAAAATGCTTTTATCGGTCATCTCCTATCCGAGAGCTTGGTGTCGTCATCCATTCATCAAGAGCACCGGCCACACAAGCGGTAAAATGTAGTGCCGCGCGGTAAAAACCGTCAAATATGCCAATGCGGAATCTTCCATACCCAGCAGAATCGTGACTGTCAACTGTTCCATTCCACGGTATCTCTTGGCTTTTTCCAGGCCCAGGCAGACGTTTGTACATTAATCGATTTATCAAACCTCTTCAGGCTTATGAAACCTGCCTCATGGAAGAAGCACGGCCAGATCTAGAGAGCCCATCTGCATGCTTGGCCGCCACGCCGAACTTCCCTGATCCTGGGTTACCGTTGATGCGCAGCAGCCGACCTCCTGTACCCAAGGAGTCGGAATGTGTGGAACTTGATCAGAATTGTGCACTGGAGAACCCCTTTGGATAAAGATTTGTGGTTCACAATTACGCACCCGCTAAAGTCCAGACGGAAACGTGCTCATAGCACGGTTTGTTCTCCACCAACATGCCTGTAGGGCTGGGAGGAGGTAGTATATATTAGTTGTGTCAGTCCATATGCCGGACATATGCCCATTGTCACTATCGCCGACAATACGTGGGCAAAGGAGATGATTCCAGTGATACGGCCATTATTCTCAAGGGCGGCTATGGCTGAGGAGCAGCTGCCGATCGGCTCCGGTGCATTTTCCGAACAAGAATGACCTTGACGGCTATCCGCCACATGCCGTAAGAAGCGACCGGCAAGAAAAGGATAGATTTTTACGGCGTTTAGAGTTAGAGTTCATCATCATCTATGAATAATGAATTGATAAGCGTGTCCAGACTTGCAACGGATCGCCCTTCTCGCCTTGGATTGCTAAACTCCGATAATCGCGAGAATCAACACCATCCGAAGCTACGAATTGTATCCACTTCCGCAAGAGGGAACCGGAGTTTCCGGAGCTTGGAACTGGGTCGAGCATATAAAAGAGTAGCGGGGGACAAGTGCAATGCCCATGAGACAACTAAACTTTTGCAAAATTCAACCATGGCTAAGATACTGCTTACTGGTAAGTTGATTGACGATTCTACCGTTTGAGGGAGCTCTCGGCTAACTGTTTTCAGGTGGGAGCGGCTTCATTGCTGCGCATGTGCTAGATGCTCTCTTGCATCGCGGGTAGGCAAGACTCTGATTGAAGAGACTGCGAATAAG